GAGGGGAGATCGCGGCCGTGGGGACGGGGACTGCAGCCGAGTCTCCTCGGCCTCCCCCAGCCCGGACCAGGGGCCCCCGGATCCAGGGTCTGCGTGGCCACAGCTCCTGCTTCTTCCAGGGACCGAGTGAGGCCGTGTCCCTGCTCCCGGCACCCCTCCAGCCAGGCCCCATGTCGAGGGCTCAGGGCACCAGGGGGCCCTCTGGAACCCCCAGCCGCCCTCCCGTGCCCAGCCCTCTGCCCTGGGCTGTCGGACGCCCTGCAAGGCTCTTCTGGCCTCTGTTACGCGGACAGACAGGCCCCCAGGGGGCGGGCAGAGGGAGCTCTGGGGACCCCCTCGTCCCCGGGTCCCCCAAGTGGAGGGGGACAGACGGGCGTCTCCCTGCAGAACCAGGCGCCGGGACCCAGGAGACAGGGAACTCGGGATGGCCCCCCTCACTCAGACTGCACAGGGGAGCCCCAGAGGGCTGAGCCGGAGCCCAGCAGGGAGCCCGGGGCCCCAGGAGCGAGGCCTCTGGGGGGGAGGGGGAGGCCAGGGCTGGCATGGGGCCCCTGTCTTCAGGGCAGAGGTGACGCCAGGTGGTGTGCAGGGCAGTATCGGAGGGGAGGACAAGAGCAGGGCTTTGCGGGTGAATAGGAGTTTGGCAGATGGCGCCGTGCCCTGGGGAGGCCTCCGGAGCCACCCCCAGGCGGGGACCCGTGCTCTGGGGTGACTGTGGTCTTGGGACAAGGCCTCTAAGCAAGACCCTCTCCCTTGGGTTCCAGCCCTGGTCTTTCCTCCCTCGGCTGGAGCCCAGCTTGGGCCCCACTGTGCACGGCAGGCTCAGGGCGGGACCCGGCAGCCGCCCTCTCCGGGCTGCGCTCAGAGGCACGGGGGGGGGGGGGGGGGGGGGGGGCCTGTGCCGGAGGTCCGGGCTGGACGAGGGGGCAGGACAGGCGGGCCCCAGGGAGGGGCTGAGGACGGACAGGCGCTGCCTGAGGCTGGCAGAGGCGTGAGGGAGCCTCCTGGTTCGCCCGGGACCCCCTGCCTCTCTCAGGCCTGCTTCCCCATTGCGCTCCAAGGCTGCCGCACAGGCGCAGCGGTGGCTGAGGCCAGAGGACCCCTGCGCCTGCCGCGGCCCCACAGCCGGGCCCCAGAGCCACGGGCTGGAGCTGGGCGGTGGGGAGCCGGCACGGCCCTGGCGCACTCAGCCCCACGGGGGCGCCGTGTGTGCCCGCCGGCTCAGCCAGGTGCGGTGAGCTGAGGGGCGGTGAAGGATTGGGGAAAGACAGACAAGAGAATGCACGCTGGGTCTGGGCGGGACGCTGCCTCTGATGGGCCACCAGCCGTGTCTTCAATAGCCGATGCCACGGGGCAGTGAGGGCGGGCCAAGATGTTTACAACATTCTCCTGGGTTTCGATCCCCCTCAACTGCACGCGCCTGATCCAGCCTGGCCTCCCTGCGGCCTCCGTCACTCAGCACGTGGGGCCGCGTGTTCGACCACAGGTTCGGCTCACAGCCACAGCTGCTGGCCACCACGGTGCGGGGAGGCCCTCCCTCCACGCGGGGCGTGCACGTGGCTTTGCCAGAGCGGACTGTGCCCTCCTCAGTCCGAGGCCGGAGCCTGTCCACACGCGGAGGCCGCGCCCCACACTGGGCTGCCTGGCCAATGGGTGCACCCAGCTGCTGGGAGCCAGGCGGGTGCTGGGCGTGGGTGGCAGGAGAGGAAGAAGGCAGGGAGCATAGTGGGAGCCCCTAATTCAGCCTCCCCTGGGACAGGTGGCTCCTTGGGGAAGGGCTGGGCCGGCGCTGAGGTAGCCATGCCCCCAGCCCCTCTGGGCACATCCTCCTCACTCCTGCCTGGGCCTCTGCCCTTCTCCCTACAGAGCACCCCCCCCCCCGTCCCTCTCTGCCCCTCACTCCCTCACCCGGGGCCTGCAGGGGTCCCACCCATTCCGACCCCTGCTCTGCTCTAACCAGGGAGGGGGAGAGGAGGAGAGACAGAGACGGAGAGAGGGAGAGAAATAGAGACAGCGACGGGGAGAGAGACACGCAGGCGGAGAACAGAGACGCTGGCTCCGGCCTCGACGCAGGGCACCTGCCTCGCACCCCGTCGGCGGTCACCCCTCCGAGCGAGAAGCACCCGCCGCCCAGCTCCGAGCGGCAGAGGCGCTTAGGGGAGGAGTCTGGCCACCGAGCCGCCCGCCTGCCCTCCCCTGCCGCCCCTGCCTTCAGCACGGTCATCACTTAGGAAGGAGAAGGTGACCTTTTCGGGGGGGGGGGACTGATGACAGTTTGGGGGGCCCAGTGCCGGTGTTCCTGACTCTGGCTCATTTCCTCCTCCCCAGGTGGCCCCTCCGGTCCCCGCAGGCTCCGTCTTCCTCCTTCTCCTCCCTGCACCCCCACCCGCCTGGGGTCTAAGTTCTTGGCACACCCAGGTGGAGCTGGCACCCCTGCAGCACCCCGCCGGGCAGAGCAGCCCGGGAGGGAGGCAGGGCCTGCACTGGGAGGGTGGGCGGTCGGGATGGCACTTGGCTGGGTACTGCCCCCAGGCACCACCAAACCCTAAGCTGGGGTCGCCGGGCCGTGAGGGGGCGTGACTGCAGCTCCAGGTGGACGTGAGGGAGGCCTTCCCAGGGGAGCCTGAGCGGACTCAGCCTGGGGGGCCCTCGGGCCTCAGGGACATCCCCCCCCCTCGTGTGAGCGGCTCCTCTGACAGACCCCCCGTCCTCTCCACCGGTCCTGCTTCTTAGCAGCTCTGGCCGGCGCGCACCCCCCCGGGACCCCCCCCCGTGCTAGTCCTCCCCTCGGGGACCTGGTGCTCCCCGCTCCCCAGGCTCAGTGCCCCCATTCCGTGTGTGAGCCCCCGGAACGGCGTCAGTGACGGCTCCCCGAGGCTGAGAGACCGAGTTCAGGAACCTGCAGCCAGGCCTCCCAGCGACCCTCCCAGCAGGGAACCTGCCTTGCCTGGGTCCCGGGGTGCCTGGGCCTGAGAAGTCCCCTCGGGCTTCTGTGTGGGCTGAGCCCTGGGAGTTGAAGGGTTCCCAAGGCCCCTCCCCCACACTCCCTGGCGGCAGGGGGCGGGGCAGCCTCATCCTCCTCCCAGCCCTCCCGCCTGCTGCCTGCCTGGGGCGGGGAGTGCTGGCTTCTGTAAGGGGAGCCCCGAGGCCCTTCCACCCTAGGGCCCAGGACCCAGAAGGCTGCCTGAGGGGCCGTGGGCTGTGCCCCCGGGTTCCCAGAGACCCCCCCGACCTGAGCGCCGGGCCCGCCGCCTTGCCCCCCCACAGCTCCGTTCCAGCCGAGAAAGAGGCGCACACTCCGCCCGGTTTCAGTGTTTTATTAGCAAAACCGTACAAAGGGTCTGTCTTCGGGGAGGCCTGGCCGGGCCTGGATCTGCTCCTGTGCAACATGAAACCTGAGGGGGTGGGGGGCGCAGTGTCGCCTGCAGCTCAGTCCCCGAACCGGGAACCCCAGTGGACGGGAACCTCAGGGGACCACACAGGCCGAGGCAGCACCAGGTGTTGTTGGGGAGGTGGGGGTCGGGTCGGGCCGGGCAGCAGCGGGCCTGGCAGGGAGCAGCTCCAGCCCAGGGGCAAGGACGTGGGGCGTCCCGGGCCGCCGGGCAGGGGCCCGCGCGGCCAGCCTTCGCCCAGGGCTGGCGGGAGTCGCAGGAGGAGCCGGTGGCCACACGGCAGGCGGGTTCCGGGCTGGAGTGAGTCGGGGCCTGAGTAGCAAATCCCAACTCCAGCCACCGTGGCCTGGGGGCCGGCGGCCGGCGGGGCGGCACGTGGCGGCCTGGCCCTCGCGCCGGCCTGTCTTCAGCACGGCTCTCCTCGGGGTCCCTCTCCTCGGGGTCTCCTCTCCGCGCCCCCCTCTGCTGGCCGCAGGCATCTCCTGGGCGGCAGCTCGTGGGAGGAGGAGGGGGGCGGGCAGTGCCAGGCGCAGCAGCCAGGGCTCCGGGGAGCTTGCTACCTGGAGGAAGGAAGATGCCAGAGGTCAGGGGGGCAGGAGGGGGAGGGGGAGGGGAGCAGGGGGCAGGGTGGGGGGGCAGGCGGGGGTGTCTGTGGGAAGGGCCTCGCAGGCCCGGGGGGACAGCTGAGGGAAAGGACCAGGGTGGGAGGGGACTCCTTACCTGTGGGCACGCTCCTGGCTCCGGGACACGCTGCCGCCTCAGCTCGTTTGGGGGCTGGGGCCGTGGGACCCTCTGCCCGCGCGGTGAGTCAGCCCGCTGAGCTGGAGCATGAATCACGGATGCTGCTGGGGAGAGAACACGGGAGCCGTGTGAGCTGGCTCAGCAAACTCCCCCGGTCCTGCCTCCCACCTGCCCCTCTCCCTCACCCCGGGGTCTCTGCGCCCCACGCAGCCCTGGGGCCCGCTGGCTGGGGTGCCTCTGAGCCTCCTGGGCTCCCCTGGAACCATGGCCCCGGCCCGGGCGCTCTATGGCGACCCCTGGTGGTTAGTGCCCAGCTGCAGGTGCTCACCTGAGGGGCCAGGAGCCGGTGGGGCTGCTGCTGCTGCTGCTGCTGCTTTGGGCTGGGGGTCAGCTTGCTTCCTCCAGGACGGGAGCGGGCGGTCCTGTCCGAGGCTGGCCGGCTGCCCTGTGCGGCCACGGCCGGCGGGCGCTGCAGCCCTGAAGCTGAGGTCCCCTTGGCACGGGCTGTGTCTCCGCTTCCGCTCTGGGGCGTCCAGCTCGGTGCCCGCTGCCCGTGCCATTCAGAGGGGGGAGCTGGCCACAGGGCGCTGCGAGGGAGGCGGAGCTGGGGCTGGCTCGCCGTGACCTGAGTGTGTGCATGTGTGTGTGTGTGAGGGGGGGGGTCTGGTGGACCAGGCAGGCCCAGGCCCCGAAGACAGACGGCGGAGGTGACGGGCAGGGTGCCGCAGGGAGAGGGGACGCTGTCCCTGTGTCCTGTGGGTCAGGCTGGGCGGCCAGGCGCCGTCCCCCTGAAGGAGTCGGCCCAGCGGGAAAGTCCCGGTGGGCAAGGCTGCGGGCGGGCACGGCGGGCGGTGGCCCCGAGGCCCTCTACTCGGGCTTGGCGCAGTCGCTGACGGCGGACTCGTTGGTGAGGGCTGGCGTGAGGGCGCCCTCGGGCTCGGGCTCGGGCTGGGCCCCGGCCTCCTCGGCGGCGGGGCGCGGGGGGGCGGGCTCGGCCTGCTCCAGGCCGCCCTGCACCTCCAGGCCGCGCTGGATGAGCTGTTCCAGGGTCTTGGGCAGCGGGTGGCGCAGGAAGCGCTTGAGCTTGGGCTGCAGGGTGCCCACCACGTACTGGATGATCTCCTCCTCCTCGGCGTCCACGTGCAGCGTCTGGTACAGGTCGCGCTTGCGCCACAGGAACTGGTCGAGCGGCTCGCCCTGCTTCTGCGGCAGGTCCAGCTCGCGCTGCAGCGCCTCGCGGGACAGCGTGCCCTCGCTGTACTGCAGGAACTCCTTCTTGAACTGCACCCAGTTCTTGACGGAGCCCTGCTTGAACTCCCACCACTTCTTGGCCGGCCCGTTCATGTGGTTCTGGATCTGGGACAGCCAGTACTCCTCCGAGCCGCCCACCTGCTGCAGGTACTCCTCCAAGTGGCTGAGGAACTCGTGCGGGTCCTCGAACACCTGCGTGTCCACGCCGGGCAGCGGCTGCCCGTCCTCGCCGGGCCCCCAGGGCGGGTACTGCTGCGCCGCCTCCTCCTCCAGCGCCTGGCCCGGCGGCAGCTCGCCCGCGGCCGGCGGCGGCGGGATGGCGTAGGGGCTGACGCTGTAGTCGTAGCCGTCGGCCTCCTGGTAGCAGCCCTCGGGGCCGCCCACGCCCACGGACACGGCGCGGCCCGGCTCGCCGCCCGCCGGGTGCTTGGCGCCCGCGGCCTCCAGGCGGTCGGCCCAGCGCTCCAGGCGGCAGAAGACCTCGCGCCACACGTGCATCTCGCGCTTGACCCAGCGCTCCAGGTGCGCGATGGTGTCCTGGCAGCGGCTCAGGCAGGCCTTGATGGAGCGGCGCCAGCGCAGCGAGTCGCCGGGGGGCACGTAGCCGTCCAGGTTGCCCTCCAGCTTGCCCACCGAGCGGTGCAGCCCGCGCAGCTCGCGCTCCACCTGCTTGGACACCTCGGCCAGCAGGTGCCGGTGGGTGCGGCGCACGTGCTCCAGCATCTCGGCGCGGCACTTGCCGATCTGCAGCACCACGTTGGGCTTGGCCACCGGCCCGCCGCGCGGCGCGGGGCAGGCGTGGAGGCCCCCGGGCGTCCTGTGGTCCAGCTCCATCGGCGCAGGGGACCGGAGGGCGGGCGGCGTCCTCTGGGGCGGCGGCGGCGGCGGCGGCGGCGGCGGCGGGAGGAGCGGGCGCCGGTGCGGCGGATGCAGGAGAACGGATGGAGGGAGGGATGGGTGGATGGATGGGTGGATGGATGGGTGGATGGATGCGGGCCGAGAGGCTCGGAGGCTGGAGGAGCGGTGAGAGCGGTGAGGCGGCCGCGCCGAGCTCTGCAGCAGCCGCCGCGGCGCCGCTCTTTATGCCGCCGGCGGCCGTGGGCGGGCCCTCGCCGAGCGCGGCCTCCCATTGGCCCGCGCCCCCCCCCGGCCCGCCCCCGCGCCATCCGCCGGCGGAGCGAGGACCCCGCGCCGCGGCCCCGGTGACTCATCCGCGTCCTCCGCCCCCTCCCGCCGCTCGGGCCGAGCGGGACCGCGACCACCCCCCAGGCGGGGCGGGGCGGGGGGCAGGTGTGCGCCCCGAGAGGGCCGGAAGCGCGTTAGCCCGCCGCCTCCCCCCCGCGCCGGGGCGGGAGGGGACCCGGGCTCAGCGCCCCTGCCCGGAGGGGGTGCCGCCCGCCCTGCCCGGAGGGGGTGCCGCCCGCCCTGCCCGGTGCGGCCGCGCTGCGCAGCCACAGTGAACCCGCCCCCCATGCTCAGACCCCCCCGGAGCTGAGGTGCCCAGGCGGGGCGCACACCCCCGGGGTCAGGCCTGGAGCCCCTGCCCGCCCTGCCCGGGGTCCTCCTCCGCGCCTGTGGGTCCCGGGCCCAGGCCTGGGCGCTGCCCCCGGCACCGGGGTGGGTGTGAGACACCTGACAGCCCCTCCCTGGCCTCGGTGCGGCCTGAGGTCCCCCCAGGGCCCCCCAATCTGGAAGCTGGCCCGGGGTGCGGTGGGGGGTGGGAGGGGAGGCGGGGGACGGAGGGCTGCGCCCACTGCAGGGCTGGGCCCTGGACCCCAGGCCGGGGAACCTGTCATAAGCGCCAAGAGGCTGGCAGAGGGAGGGGGGCGGGAGGAAGGAGGGAGGGGGCAGGAGAGGCAGCCGCAGCGGCAGAGCACAGAGCAGAGCGGGAACGCGCCTTATAAGGAAGGCATGGGGCTCCGGAAGCGAGATTCCCGGCCTCCCTGGCAGCCGGGGGACGTCCTTCCTGGGTGACCCACCGGGAGGGTCTGGGCCCCGTCACCTGGCACACCACCCCCACGGCCAGGGCAGACACCCCCCTCCCGTGCCCCCCCCAGAGCCGAGCCCCTGCTGCCGGCCTTCCCCTCTCCCTCTGCCACCCCCCACTGCACACTCATCCCCCCCGTCATCCCTCCCCACGCACCCCCACACATCCCCCCACAGACACGCGTCCCCCCACACTGACACGTATCCCCCCAAAGACACGCGTCCCCCCACACTGACACGCGTCCCCCCACGCTGACACGCGTCCCCCCGGTACACTCACCCCCCGGTACACTCACCCCCCCTCCCGCAGCCCGGCTCTGGCTTAGTCACTCAGGGGACACGGCCCTGGCAGGTGCCCACGCTCTGGAGTCCCCACTCCCCCTGACCCCCCCAGCGGGGAGCCCTCCTCCCACCCGAGCCAATCTGAGCTCCCGCCCCTGCTTTGGACGGGAAAGTCTTTCTGGCAGAATCTCCCCAAAAATGGCTCTCCTGGCATTTCCAATTTCAGGCGCGTGGGTGGGGGAGGGGGCGGCGGCAGCGCTCCCAGAGCCGGGATCCCGAGCTCAGCCGGCGCTCCCGGGCGGGAGCCGGAGCCGGAGCCGGAGGCGGCAGCGGGGCCCTGGGGTGAGTGGCCGGCCTGGTGCTGGGAGCCCGCGTGGAGGGGCGGGAGCCCGGGCCGTGTCCGAGGGCCCTGGTGAGGGGAGGCCCCTGAGCCGGCGGGCAGGGACCGCGCACCTCCCTGTGCATACCACACGCGTGTGCGGTGGGCGTGCCAGAGCCAGCACCGAGCGGCCAGGAGTCACCCCGCTAGCCCCCTCAGGTCCAGGGCCTCTGACCAGCTGGGCAGCCTGGGCCAGGGCCTGGTTCCGTGTCCCAGGACCCACAGTGTCTCCAGCCTCCTCCTGCCCACCCACGGCAGCCGTCTGCACCCAGCCAGGGCCTGGGGGGCCGGGGAGGGGAGGGTGCTGGGGGGAGGGGGGCAGCCAAGGCGGGCAATGGGGGGGCGGGTTAACCATCACTTGTGGGGCAGCGGGCCTGGGGGGGGGGGGCCTCCAGGTTAGGTGGGTGGCCCGCCCAGGCTGCCGGCCTGCAGGCAGCTGCGGAGGCTGTGGTGGAGCTGCAGTGACAGACAGAACGGCTCTGTGCTGGGGAACGTGTAATCTGGCGTAATTATCGCCCCAGAGGCCGCAGCAAACCCCGCACTGGCCCTGGGGCTCCTTTCCCTCCCTCCAGGCCGCTCCCCACCCTGGGATGGGGTCTGCCCGTCTCACCCTGCCCCTCCGAGCAGCCCTCCCCCCAAGAGGGCAGCCCTCCCCCCCTCACACAGGCAGGAGGGGCGGATGGCAGGAGGGGCTGGCCATACAGGGAGGGAAGGCCCGGGCCCCTCTCTCGGAGCCCAGCGGGTCTGAGGTCCGGCCTCACCCCCGCCGAGGCCTGGCCTTGGGGGGGCTCTGTGGGGATGGTGGGCGGGCAGGGTGAGCACGGAGCTGCCCAATGCCGAGGCCAGCGGGACCCACTAAGACCCTCTGGTCTGGCCTCTGCCCGGGCTCAGGCGGCCACAGCGGGGCTGAGATGCTCCTCTCAGGGTGCCCCCCCCCCTGAGCTGGTGCCTCCGTGGGCCTCCCGGCTGCTCTGTGACCTGCTCGTCCCCCACAGCGCACACCCTGTGGGGACCCTCCTCCTCTCCTGTGGTCAGCCCTTCCCCCCCCCCGGGCGTGCGTCCGGGGGTCCCCCTCCTCACCCCGTCTCTGCCTCCCCGTGGGGCCATCCCGGTCCAGGGCCTCACGCCTTGGCCCCACGCCTGTGGGGCTGGCGGGAAGGACCAGGCCGCCTGGTGCCCGCCACAGGGAGCCCGCCGCAGTCCAGCGCCCAGCTGGCACTGCTGGAGGGCAGTCCCCCTCCACCCCGGCCCAGGGGTCCCCGAGTCCAGGGCCTGTGCCCCTGCTCCCGCCGCCTCCCGCGGGGCTGGGCTCACAGCGAGTGGCACAGAGCGGCCTTCGGGAGGGCCAGGGGACATTTCTGGTTGGCAGACATTAGCAGGCTCCCCTGAGCCTCAACTTCCCACCTGTGAAATGGGTGGCAGTGCCACAGCCACATGTCACTGAGGCCGAGGGCAGGAGTCCCTGTCAGTGGCCCCCTTCCTGCCGCTCCCTCCACCACCACCGGGGCGCACGGGGCAGGGCCTGTGGGGGGTCAGGGTGTCCTGATTGTGGGCCAGTCCCGTGACAGGAGGGCCTGCGCCGGAGGCTGGGCCCGGGGAGGCTGGCCCGGGGAGGCTGGGCCCCGGGGAGGCTGGGCCCGGGGAGGCTGGGCCCGGGGAGGCTGGGCCCCGGGGAGGCTGGGCCCGGGGAGGCTGGGCCCCGGAGGCACAGGAGCCAGGAGAACATTCCCTCTGCTTCCTCCCAGCTTGGCATCCTGTCCCGGAACAGGCAGCCGGGCCTTCTGCGCCCCACTTCCAGACACCAGCCCCCCCCCCCCGCCTCCCGCCCCAGCGCCTTCCGGCGCAGCCTCCAAGGAAACTTCTGTTTTTCCGGGGATCCTGGCACGGGGTGCTGCCAGCTGCTCCCTGCATCCTCAGGCGGCCCCCGCCCCCGGGCCTCCCGGGCCCTGCCCCCGCCCTAGGGGAGGACACGGAAGCCGAGGGGGCAGACCCCCAGCGGGAGGCCAGAGCCGGGGGGGGGGGGGGGGGCCGAGGGAGAGGGTGCACAGGGCCGTCTGCCTGCTGTGCCCTGGGGTGGTCAGTCAATCAGCAAACAGCCCCCAGGGCGGGGCGAGGTGGGCGCAGGAGGTGCAGGCCGGGCGTCTCCTCGAACCCACGCGGGCCCTGGAGGGCACGGGCCTCGCCCACAGCCCAAGCTCTTCAGGGGCCGCCCTCGTCCCCTGGGACCAGACCGGGAGGAGAGACCCCTGCCGCGCTGGGGTGGGGGTCCCACCGAGGTGTGGGGGCCGGGGAGGCTGGCACCGGAGGCTGAGCAGGGGAGGCTGCTGCAGGGTCCGGCTGGAGGGGTGGGGGCGTTGGGTCCTATCTCCAGGGCAGGAAAGGAGAGGAGGGGTTGCTGGGGGGGACGCGGGGTCTGCGGCCGGGAGGGGCACAGGGGCCACAGGTGCAGCCCATGGGGAGGCCCCAGCTGAGAGCCAGGTGCGGGGGAGGGCCAGCTGAGAACAGTCTAGGGTTCGGGGAAGGGGAGCCAGGGCCAGCGGGCAGGTGAGGGGGGAGGCGAGGCCGCACCAGGAGCAGCGGGGAGCCTCCTGGGTGGGAGCCGCAGCTGCCCCTTCCCCTACCCTGGGTGCCCGGCCCGGCTGGGTGCCGTCCCCGGTGCCCAGGGCCCCAGACCCTGCTGCCAGGTCCCCACGGGGCAGCCCCTCAGCGGGGGAGGGGCCCTGCCGGCTGGCCCCGGATGCCCCGGACTGTGGCTGGGAGCAGTGCAGGGAGGGGCGCCCGCCTCCCGCTCCCCGCTCCCTCCCGGGAGCTCTCCTGCAGCTTCCGGAGCCATAAAAGGAGCGGAGCTCAGGGAACAGTGGCGCCGGTGACGCTGGCTCCTCATGCAGGCAGGCGCCCGCCCCGCCCCGCCCCGCCGGAAGCAGCAGGGAATGGTGGCGGGTGCGGCGAAGCCCGTGGCCCCCACCGCTGCTGCCGGCCTGCGCCACCTGCCCTCCGCTCCCCACGGGCTGCCCTCCGCTGCCCCGGCCCCCCCGGCCCCGGCGGAGGGGCTGCAGACATAAGGACAACGGGGCTCCAGCACTGCGGGGCCAGGCCGGGGCAGTCTCCGCCAGCGTGCGGACTGGCCAGGGAGGGAGCCGGCCCAGGGGCTGGCAGGGTGCTTGAGGGGCGCAGGGCTGGCGGGGCTTACCCCTCCCAGTCTGACCGCTGGTCACCCCCTCCCCTGGCTGGGCCACCTTCCAGCTGCCTCCCGCCCGCCCACCCGCTTGGACTGGCCACCGGCCACCCAGTCCAGCCAGCCACGCCCTGGGCTCCTGCCCTGGCTGCTCAGGCCTCCGGCCCCGACTCCCTGCCTGGGAGCAGAGTGGACGCAGGGTGGTGGGTCCCTGGACGCTGCCCTCCAGCCCGGCCAGAGGGCAGAGGAGGGGGCCATCACAGCCCAGCCGCCCGGTGAGACCACCCCTGCCCCAGCAGCCCCGGGTTTCTGCATCCAAGTACAAGGCCACCAGCAGCCGGGGGACTGGTGTCAGCCGAGGGGCCGCTGGCCGGAGTGGGGGCAGGGTTCCAGGGCGGCCGGCAGCTCCCAGGCCCCCGGGGGGGGGGGGGGGAGTGGCAGGTCCCTAACCCAGTGCGTCCCCAGCAGGAGGCGCTGACATGAGCCCGCTGCTGCCCATGGTCCAGGCTCTGCCCTGAGTTACAAGTGCCCCTCATACAAGCGGTCAACACCGGTCACAACCACCTCCCCACCCCATGGCCACAGCCACGACCCCCTCCCCCCCACCACCAACCCATCACTTCCACCACCACCACCAGCATCACCATCACCTGCCTTCCACTCCCACCACCACCATCACCATCACCCTGCCCCTCCCGCTGCCCCAGCCGCTCGGGCCCCACGACACACACACAGGCTTCGGGCTGAATCATTTATTCTCTCAGTTCCGAGGCTGGAAGTGCCCCTGGCCCCGCCCTGCGGAGCGAGGGACTCTGGGGAGGGCCCGGCTGGTCCAGGGTCAGGACTATCCCGTCCTGGAGTCTCTAGAAGGTTCCACCTCACTGGAACCGGCAGACACCACGCTGGAGAAGCATGGGCGGCCCACTGGCAGCCACCATGGGTGAGGCCGCCGGCCCCGGCTCCTGAGGACAGCCCGTGGCCAGCGTGCGGCACAGGCAGGCTGGGCGGGGGGCGCTGTGGACCACGCCAACCCGAGCCACCCCACCCCCTCCTGCCCACCCCGGGCTCCACATCCCTGACACAGGACCCCCTCCAGAGGTGCCGCAGGCCCCGGACCCCGCCACGAGGGCCGTCATTGTCCTGTGTCCTGCATGGCTGCCGACGTGGTGGCCACCGCCGTCCCCTCCACCGGGTCTCTGCCCGGCCGCTCTGGCCACCTCGTGGGGGCTGGGTCGCCCGGCCTGGGCCACGGTGCCAGTCACTGTCCAGGACGGGTGTGTGTGTGTGTGTGCCTGTGAGGCCACCATGCAGGGGCCGCTCTGCTCCTCCCAATCAGAGAGCACGCTCTGCTGGTTGGTGGGCTGGGCCCCCACCACACACACCAATCCAGCCCCCGGCCCCCCCCCACCGCAGCTCCGGGCCGCAGTGGCCTGGCCTCCCTCTCCAGGTGCCTGGCTCCAGCTCCTGCTCTCCTCCCCCTCGCCCTTCCTGCCCCCCTACCCCCCGGGCTGTGCAGCGCCGGGAGGGGCAGCTCACCGGCCTCGGCGCTGACTCAGGCGGAGGGGCCTTTGTCTGGGAGGAAAGCACGTCAGCCCACGCCATCCGACCCACCGCCGGGCCTGACGCACCACCCAGCCCGGGGCGGCCGCGGCGGCGGGGGCTCAGGGGACACCCAGAGGGAGAGAAGGGGCCCCCACCTTCCGCGCGCCCCCCCCAACACACACACCTCTGCAGCCGGTGAGGCACCGCCCTCTCCGCAAGCGTCCGAGTCCCGGGGGGCCCAGGGCTGACACCCATCCAGAGCGGGCGAGGCCGATGCCTGCAGGTCTCGGGGACCGAGTCTGGGCGGGGAGGGTGGTGGGTGCTGGGAGCCCCGAGGTCCCCTCAGGAAAGACGCGGGCGCCCGCGGGAGACCAGGCTCCAGCAGGACCGCGAACAGCTGTCCACTGGCCACAGGAGGCCCTGCTGGCGGCCCGCCTCGGGCCCATGTGACACGCACAGCCACCAGGCCAGCGGCACCCGAGGGGCGGGGCCTGGCCCAGCCTGCGGCCGGGACAGCAGCGCTGCCATGGTGGCTGAGCACCCGCTTCCCCCGCATGCTCTCCATGCTCTGCGGGTCAGCCACCAGCGCCAGGCAGGCCCGCCCCGTCCCTGGCTCCTCCGTTCACCTGACTGAAGGCAGGTAACAGGATGGGAGGGGCCTGCGCGTCTCAGCACCCGCTCCTGGACAGCTCCCGCCCCGGCACCACCGGCCAGGGGCACCGTCAGTTCTCGCCCGCGGTGCAGGGCGCGCAGGCCGCTGTGGCGCAGCCCCCCGGGCGCACCCGGGGGCCCTCGGGCTCGACCACGGCCCTGAGGGGAGGGCTCCGCCGCCGGGCGAGCACGGAGCGCAGCGCCCGCAGCTGCCCCAGCTCCTGCGCCGAGAAGCAGGGCCAGGCCGCGGCGAAGCGCAGCACTGTGTCGAAGGCCGTGGCCGCCTGCTCCCAGGGCGCCTCCTCGCCCTGCCCGGCAGCCCCGGGGTCCCCGTCCTTCTCCGTGTGCTCCGGGGGGCGCTCGGGCTCCTCCTCGGAAGAGGCCCCGGGCCACAGCCGCCCCCAGGCGCGCCTGAAGACGGCGGCGGGCACGGCGTCCCAGGCGCAGGCCACGCTGCCCGCGGCGTCGCTGCCGCCGGGGCGCGGGGGGCAGCCGGGCGGCGCCCCCGGGGAGCTGGCGAAGCTCTCCACGAGGCCCCGCCGGAGGCCCTGGTCCATGGGCTGGAGGAGGGCGGCGGCGCCGGCCGGCAGGAAGACGGTGAAGATGCTCCCGGCCACCAGCTCGGACGCCGGCGGGTGGGCCCGGGAGCCGTCCAGCAGCAGCACGGCCTTGCTGTCCGCGGGCTGCCCCAGGGCGCGGAAGTGCGCCCGCACTGCGGGGGCGAAGATGTGGTGGAACCAGCCGGCCAGCTCGGCCCGGCCCGCCCACGCGGTCCCCGGCGCCCGGCAGGCCGCCGGCAGGTGCTGGGTGCCCCGGGGGGCCCGGGCGCCGCCACACTTCCCGACCACCAGGGGCTTGATCCTGTGGGAGCCCGTGGCGTTGGCGCACACGAGGACGGTCAGCCTGTCCCGGCCCGGCTTGCCGCCGGGCGCCGGCTCGCCCTCGGCGGCGGGTCCAGGCCGGCGCTGCCAGGAGAGGCCGGTCTCGCCGGCGCTGTACACCTGCTCCGGCGTCAGGCCGTGCTCGGCCGCCAGGCTCCGGAAGAACCCGCAGAACCGCTCGGCCGCCTGGCGCTCGGCCGCCTGCCTCTCCCCGGCCGCGTCCAGCCTCTTGATGCCGTGCCGGGCCTTAAAGCGCCACAGCCAGCCGCCGGAGAACACGCAGGGCTCGCTGAGCCGCATCTGCGCGTACAGGTCCTTGGCCTTGGCGATGAGCGCGGGGCCGGACACGGGCAGGCCCGCGGCGCGCCGGCCCAGGAACCAGGCGTGCAGCGCCCGGTCCAGGCGCTCCAGCCGGGGCGTGTGCAGCGTGCGCCGCCGCTCCAGCGCCGGGCTGCAGGCGGAGCCGGCCAGGAAGCGCAGCAGCCGCGCCTTGTGGGCCCGGATGTCGTAGAGCGTGGACATGCCCACGTTGTACTCCTGCATCAGCGCCTTCCGGCTCTCGCCCTTCTCCAGCCGCGCGCACACGTCCATCTTCTCCCTCAGGGTCAGCACCACCCGCTTGCGCTTCCCCCCGGGGCCCCTCCCGGCGGCCTGCCTGGCGGCCATGTGGAGGGCGGCTGGTCGCGTCCCGGAGGCAGGCACGGGCGGGTGGAGGGGGGCCAGGCCCCGGTGCTGGGGGCCTCCCCTCCCCGTTCCCCGTGCCCCTCACTTGCCCGTCTCCCCGGCCTCAGCCTGCCAGTCTGCTGGTCGTCCTGGCGCCTCCGGCCTCCCTGCAGGCCCAGCAGCCTCTGGCATCACGGCTTCTCCATCTTCCGCTCCTGGCACGGACGTGGCAGCTCCTGGACTCTCTCGTCGCACGGCCCCACACGTCTCTACACTGCTAAGGCCAGTGGCCTCCTCTGTGGGACGGAGGCCGTTCCTCCCCTCGGCCCCAGGCCAGAGCAGAAGGGCCCGGGGAGCTGGCTGCGGCTCGCAGAGGCTGCGCACTGTGAGGCCCTGTGGGGAGCAGAGGAAGGAGAGGCCGTTACCCACTTTTAAGGAGATGCTTGGCAGGAAGCCAGCTTAGAGACCAGGAGGAAAGGGGACCCCGAAGGAAGGGCTGGGATGCCTGGAAAAGGTGTCCTGGAGGCTCAGTGCCAGGAACCGGTTCCGGCAGGTGTGCGCAGGCGTTAGCTGAAAACGGGGACGGCTCCTGAGGCAGGAGCCTGCTTCAGAGATGGCCTTCAGGTGGTACCCCCGGAACAACGTCTCACCCCAGAAGGTCCGAGCACGGCAGGAGAAACCTCGGAGCTTCCAGCCTGGCCCCCTCCACCTCCAGGGAGGCACCGCCACCCAGGCCACAGGGACACGGACGGCCTGTTACCCTCTCGTGCCCAAGGAACAGCCCAGAGGGGCAGGAGAGCTGGAGGGAGCCCCTGATCCACGTGCAGACCCCTCCCTGTCCTTGCAGAGAGCTAGGGGAAGAGCTGGTCTGGGGGGCAGAGGGGCAATCGGGAAGGAAGGCTCAGTAAGGGTTCTGGCCCAGCTGCTGGCTCAGTGAGCTTTGACCTATGGTCACAGTGCATTCCTGGTCAGGGCAGCGGATCCACTGATGCTTCTCTCCCTCCCTCTTCCTTCCTCGCTGAAATCGATAAAAATATGTTTTGAGAAAAAGAAGTGTTCTGGAAACCGAGAAAGAGATGGAGGAAGTCTCAGGGGCAAGAAGGATGGGGTGGGGCGGGTAAGGGCGGGTAACATGGTGCACATCCTACAGGGAGATCGGTGGGTGCAAACACAGCCCCCTCTGCGCGGGGGGCGAGGGACCCGGGGCGGGGAGGCGCGCGGGCCACTCGGGCCGGTGTGCAGGCGTTTCTATCCCGGGGTCACGCGGGGGGCAAGGGCAAACCCAAAAGGGGAAACAGAAAGTCCAGGCTCAGGCGGCTTCCTCCGGGGGAAGGAGGGTGGCTCCGCGGCCGGTGGCCTCTGCAGGCGGAGCCCCTGGGCGGGGAGCGGGCGCCGCCAGGCTCCGGGCGGGGCTGCAGGGAATGGCTGGGGGGGGGGGGGTGCAGCTCGCCGCGGTCCCGTGGGGCGGGAGGCGGAGGGGCTCGGCCCGAGCCGGGGTGCGGCTCCCGGGAGCCTGCTGGGCGGGAGGGGGACCAGAGACCACAGGGCGCCGGCGCTCCCCGGGCCCGCCCCACTCACCTGCCGGCGCCGGGCCGCCGCCGCCGGATGTGCCGGCGCCCCGCCCCCCACCGGGCCGCGCCCCTCCGCCCCATCACTTCCGGGACGCTCTAGGCACCCCGGAGGACTCGCGTCTCTGTGGCTCCGCAGGAGGCAATGGGCGTGCGGATGGAAGAAAGCGGGGTGTCCTGGGTGACCTCGTGGTCTTGGCCCTGAGGGTGCTGTGCCCCTCGCCTTGGCCGTCCGAAGCATGGGCGCGGGGTGACTGCGCCTTGGGTTTCTTGACGAGCGGGGCCTTCTGCTGATGAGCTGCCCCAGGGGACAGGGCTCAGTGCCCCAATCCCCACCCCCAGACCAGGGCAGGCTTTGAAGTGGCCGTCTCTGAGCCCCTGCCCTTAGCCACATCCAGTGCCCACCCTGTGTCCTTCCTACCCAGCCCCTTCCTCAGCCTGAGCCTCATGCAGACCTAACGGCGATTTCTATGGTGAGATCTGAGGCTTGTGAGCGAGCGGGCCAGACTTGGAGGAGATGTGGATGTGAGTGGTGCTGTCATGAGTTGGGACTCTGGGCGACCTTGGGACGGGGTGGCTAATTTGCATGTGGAACCAATGCCCCCAGCCCGGCTTCCACGTCCTTGTCCCCGGAACCTGTGGACAGTCACCTCACAGGGCACCCGGGACTCAGCAGGTGTCATTCGTTCAGACTTGGGAGATGGGGGCGGCACCCTGGTCACCGGGAGGGCCCGGGCCCTCACAGGGTCCCTGCAGGAGGGACCACAGAGGGTGGGGGTCAGGGAAGACAGTGTGACCAGGGAGAGGGAGACAGGACCCCGACACAGGCTGCGTGTGCTTTGTGGGTGAGGCAAGGGCCAGGAACGGAGTGCAGGCCCCAACCTGGCAAAGGGAGGGACAGAGGCTCCCTGCAGCCTCCGGAGGAGCAGGCCCTGCTGACACCTGGGTTTCCGCTCCGAAGACTCGTTTCCGATGCAGGACCTCGGAGTTGTGAGTTCCCAAGTGTCTGCTGTGTAAGCCCCACGCTCACAGCCCGTGGCTCCAGCCGGACTGATCCCAGGCAGGCATGGGCGCCTTCCTGCGCCTTCATTTCCTCTCGGGGCTCTGGGACCCGCCCACCCCGGGCTGCAGCCTCCCTGTCTCCTCTGACTCCGCACCAGCCCTGGGCCATCCCTCCATGCTGAGGCTCCACAGCCAGCAGAGGCTGGCGGCCCCGGGCCACAGTGGGTGGCGGCTGCCCGTTCACTCAGGCACAGGACAGTCACCCACACCCCAGAGCCAGAGCGGGCTGGGCTCTGCCCTCCGGGTGGGAAGGGCACAGGAAGGAACTGGACCCTGGGCCCCCCTCGGCGGGTCTCCGGGGTCAGAGCTTGTCCCAGGAAGGCGGGCTCTGTCCCTGTGCCTGTCTGCCAGCACCTGGCAAACATGGAAGCACATGCACCCATCCCCAAGGCGCACGGGGCTCCCCTAGGGTCCCCCCATCCCTCTGGGACCTCTGGCCTCGCCTGCAGGACTGAGTCAGCTCTGCCAGAGAGGGAGGGGTGGGAAGAGAGGAGAACAAGGACGAACACCCCCTGGTGTCCTCAAGGCGGGCAGTGTCCCTCCCCTTCGCCCTTGGGCTGGAGGCCCTCCAAGCCCCTCCCCACTCCCCCCTAACCCCCCCTCCAGCTCTGGAGGCCGAGGGAGGGGACACCTGGGCAGCCTGCCCCTGGGAGAGGCCTGGAGGTGATGAGTTTCTCTCAGCAAGGAAGGGGCTCAGGCCGAGGGAGCTTGGAAAGCCTGTACCCCGCTGGCAGCATGGGGACCTCCTGCAAGCGCGGGATGGGTGGCAACCCAGGGGGTTGCGGTGGTCTGTTGGCCGGGGCCTCCCTGGGATGGGGGTGCCCCCAGCGGCCCCTACCGCCCCCGGGGCCCCGGCCGCCAGGCCAGGGAGCTGCCAGCCAGTCCCGCTGCGTGGCCAGGGGCGTCGGCCTTGGGTGGAGGGACATGAGGAAGCAGAAAGCTGGAGCCCCAGGAGGTGACTGCAGAGCAGAGGGGAGGAGAGGGGGCAGGCCGAGTCAGTCTGGGGGAGGGAGGCCTGTCCCCTCCCCCCTCAGCTGTGAGGCCTCCCCCAGCGGCTGAAGGAGGAGCAGGGCCGCTCTGCAAAGGGTTGTTACGGGTTCATTTAAGCAGAAACAAGACCTCAGGAGGAGGCGCTGGAGAGGGGCAGCCTCGTTACACCCAGGACTGTGTGTGTGTGGGGGGGGGCACAGGCGGCACCAGGGCGGCGGGAGATGGGAAACCGCGGGCCGGGCGAAAAGTGCGCTGGGGAGCCGGCCGGCAGGCTCAGCGGTGCAGCATCTCATGAGCCAGGAGGTCCCGGTTTGATTCCCGGTGAAGGGCACATGCCCGGGTTCTCTCCCCCCCTCTCCCTTCCTCTCTGACATGAATAAAAAACATTTAAAAGTGAAATAAAAACATTTTAAAGAACAAGTGAGCTGGGAGGTGTGTGCTTCTTTGATGTTGGAGGGGAAGGGCCGGAGGCCCACTCTGGCGCTCAGAGAGCAGACAGCAGGGGCCCCGTCCCCCGCCCTGGTGCGGGGACCCCGAGGCCTGGAAAGGAAGGTCAGCACATCCCCAAGCTGTGTCCTCCCGAGGCCAGCACCAGGCAGCCTCGCCGTGGCCCCGCACATGTGGCTCCTGACGGTGGCCGCTCGCTCTCCCTGTGGCATTTCGTGTTCGGACCACTCACAGGGTCCCTTCGGCTCTGCCAGGCTGCCCCCCAGCTAGTCGTGTTTGGTCTGCGGTCCCTTTGTCATCCCCCCACCCCCGTGAAACCAGACCGGCTGTGTGCTTCCGATGAGGCCGGGCTCAGGGCGGGCACCCGGGCACCCACAGGGACACACCAGAAGGCAGGACGGCGGTGGGTCCCACGGCTGTGGGGTCGGGGTCGGGGCCCTCCTGCCCCACGGTGCTGCCTGCCCCTGGGGCCGATGCAGAAACCGCTCACCCACTGGTTGGCCCCCAGGGCTCTCCGTGTGCAGACACCACCCTGGGGCGGGGCTGGCTCCTGGACGGGCAGACAGACAGACGGACAGACAGATGCCTGCGGGTGGGCAGGAGGCTCAGGGGCACACAGCTGCCAGTGAAGTCGTGCCAGAGCCCTGGTTTATGTCTCAGTGGCTAGAGCATCAGCCGGCACCCCGATGGGCTGTGGGTTCGATTCTGGGTCGGGCACGTACCTACCTGGGTTGAAGGTTCAATCCCCAGCCCCAGGCAGGGGGCATGCAGGCTACCGATGGATGTGTCTCTCTCACATTGATGTTTCTCTCTCCTCCCCCTCCTCCCTCCCTCTCTCTCTGACAAACAAGGGGAAAGTATATTTCGGTGAGGCAAGGTGGACCCGCGCCCCAGAGGGAGGCAGGACGAATGAAAAGGTCAGCGATGGAGGGACCGGGTGTCCCCGAGGGCGGGGTCCTGCCCCCCAGGCCCCCAGGGGGGACCCAGGCCTGGCTAAGGCTCTCCTGGCCGGCCCCCGTCACTCACCAGGTCCGAGCCTGGCTTTTCTCCTGGGAATGGGATCGTGTGTGTGGGGCTGGGCACTGGGATGGTGGCACTGGGGGCTCGGACCCAGCTTCCTCGCCGTCCAGGCTCAGATGCTCCATGCTGGGCTTCCAGGTCAGGTGCGCACAGCCGCCCGCCCCGCGGGGGGGCAGCGGGGGGGCTGCCTGGGAGGCTGCTCTGTGGAGAGGGAGGCTGAGGGCCCGCAGCCGTGGGGCTGGCCTGGAGCCCAGCAGCCGGACGCTCCCCAGAGCCGCGCTGAGCCAGCACCAGGAGCCCCAGCCGCAGGATCAGCACAGCCCGGAGGGCGCCCTCCAGGCCCCGCAAACAGACACTGCGGAGCCGGGCCCTCCTCCTCGGCGCTCCCTCCCCAGCCCTGCCGGGGACAGGCTCCCGGGCGGAGCCCTCGGCCGCTGGGCTGCGTCCAAGCGCAGACACCTCTGCGCCCGCCCGTTGCTGAGTCATGTCCGTCCCAGCCTCCCGCCCCCCAGGCGACATTGGCGCCCGTTTCTAAAGGGACAAAGGAGCGGCCGGGAATAAAGTTGGGGGTCAGGACTTTGGGGGTACGGGTGAGTGTGGGGGGGAGGAGTAGTGAGGCCACAGGCTGGGACCGGCAGGTGTATTGGGGTCAGACTGTAACGTGCCCCAAGCCCGCCGCTTATGCTTTCGGGGTGTCGCCCTGCGGACGTGGGGAGCCCCGGGAGCCTAGGAAGGTGGGCTTCCCGTAGCGTCTCCCACGGGCGCCCCCGGGGCTGCCTGTGCCGGGGGGTAAGCGCTGGACCCTGGGGCGCCCTTCAAATCAGAGGCCGAATCTCGGGGGCCAGTGGGGTGCTCGCTCCTGGCCGGACAGGGACCCTGCGGGCGGGTATCCGCGTCCCAGCCGGCCAGGCGCAGCGCGGCCGCCAGGTGGCGCTGTGGCGCTCCGCGCGCCTGCCCCCCCCCCCCCCCAGCACTAACGGCGCCGGCGGCGGAAGGGACCATGAGGACGCGGGGGAGCCGGCGGCGCGGGGCGGGGCTCCCGCCCGCAGCGCCCGCGGCCGCAGGCGCGCTCCCCCCTCAGCCGGCTCCGCGAGGTGGTTCGCTCCGCCGCGGCGCTCGCCGGTCCCGGGCTGGCGGCGCGGGGAGCGGGAGGCGCGCACCGGCTGGCCCCGGCCCCGGCCCCGCGGGCGGCGCCGCGATGCTGCCGCTGCTCGTGCCGCTGATGGGCCTGGCGCTCGCCTACTTCGCGCTGCTGGACGGCTGGTACCTGCTGCGCGTGCCGTGCGCCGTGCTGCGCGCGCGCCTGCTGCGGCCGCGCGTGCGGGACCTGCTGGCCGAGCAGCGCTACTCGGGCCGCGTGCTGCCCTCGGACCTGGACCTGCTGCTGCACATGAACAACGCGCGCTACCTGCGCGAGGCCGACATGGCGCGCGCCGCGCACCTGGCGCGCTGCGGGGTGCTGGGGGCGCTGCGCACGCTCGGGGCGCGCGCCGTGATGGCCGCCTCGTGCGCGCGCTACCGCCGCTCGCTGCGCCTGCTCGAGCCCTTCGAGGTGCGCACCCGCCTGCTGGGCTGGGACGACCGCGCCTTCTACCTGGAGGCGCGCTTCGTCAGCCGGCGCGACGGCTTCCTGTGCGCGCTGCTGCGCTCCCGCCAGCACGTGCTGGGCGCCTCGCCGGCGCGCGTGGTGCAGCACCTGTGCAAGCGCAGGGTGAGCCCCCGAGCGCGGCCCCGTGGACCCTCCCCTCGGACCCTCCCCCGGTGCCGGCCTTCCTGGGCTCCCGGGTCCCCGAATCCCCTCCACACGGGACTGTGCTTGCCCCTCGCCTCTTCCTATCCCGACCCTCCAGGCCCAGGCCCCGTGCCCCTCTCCCAGGACCGCGGGCCCAGGCCTCTCCCAGCGCGGCGCTGTGTGTCCCGAGCGCGGAGCCGGCCTCTCTGGCTGAGCGCGGAGCCGGCCTCTCTGGGCTGAGCGCAGTGTGGGGAGGGGTGCCCGGGAGAGGAAGTTGCTGCAGTTCCGAGACCCCTCTCAGGAGCTCAGAGCTGAGCTCTGGGGACGGAGCCTGCGGAGGAGAGAAGAGGCCGCAGCGCTGCCTCCCTCCCCGGGGCCTGGGCCAGCTCCTCCCGGCAGGGCAGCCCCCCCCATCCTCCCCGAGCCGCCTGGCAACTGGGCCCTGGGGACGGCCAGGGCGCTGCTGCTCTGCGCTGGCAAGGGCAGAGTCCGGGTCCCAGATGCCTGGGGCGCCCGTGCCCACGCCAGGCAGGGCACTGCCCTCCGAGAACAGGAGGGGCGGCCTCACCTCCCCCGCGTCAGATGGGGAAGCAGGCCAGAGAGGGGTGGGAACTGCCCGAAGCTGCAACCAAAGGACCCGGTCCCCCCCCCCCCCCCCCGCCTGGGGCAGACCTCCTGTGTGCCCCTTCAGGTCCAGGAAGCCGCAGGGCTGGCCAGGAGCTGTGGGTCCGTGGCTGAGAGCTGAGCGGAGGGCAGAGGAGGGGAGTCTGGTGCTACCTGCCCAGGAGGCTGCAGGCCTGGCTGAGGGTCACTGAGCTAATGGAGGGCCCCATGAGGGCACCGCACGTCAGGGACAGGAGGGCCACGGAGGGCCAGGGGCTGCCCGCCTGCCAGCTGAGCCCCCGGTGTCCTAGGGGGAGGCCTGGGGCGGCGGAGGGCGTGGGTTGCTTGGGGGTGGGGTTGAGCCCACTGCCTGGGTCCCGCACCCTGAAGGCTGGCGTGGGCGGCGGGGCCTTGGGGTCAGCGGCTCCCGAGAGCCAGGCCTGGACCCGGAGCAGAGCCGGAGTCCGACTGGGCGGTGACACGGCACCCCACCCCACCCCCATCCGCAGGGAGGCTGGGCCCTGGGTGCTCTGAGATTCTAAGATGGTGGCATGTGCCCGGGCCTCCTCACCCGGCTCCCACAGCCAGTCTGTGCGGCCTCAACCCCAGGCCGGCTGCCACCCCATCCCAAAGACAGGGCCGGCGGGGACTCGGCGGTCAGGCCGGACGGGAGGCCGGGGAGGACACGCTTGGCCCTTGATGGCGCCCTCCAGGAAGGGGGGGCTCCAGACAAGCCCTTGGGGGTGTGCCCCACGCCCTCGGCCCTCCGGCCGCTGCTCTGCCTGCCTCCCAAGGCCTCTGGCTGCTCTGGGCTCCCATGTCACCTCTCCACCCCGCAGCCTCATTCTGGGGACACGGAGGGCTCAGGCCTGATGGAGGAGGCCGAGCCCTGAGCAAGCTCGGGAGAGGGTTAGCCCCGAGGCCCAGGGTCTGGGGTGCCTGGAGGGGGAGGAGACACCGGCCCGCAGACCATCTGCAGAGCCTGGAGGGTGGCCCTCCCTGCACCCCTGCTGGTCGCCATGGCAGCGGAGAGCTCGGAGCGCCTCACCTCTCCCCCTCCCTCCCTCCCTCCCTCCCTCCCTCCCTCCCCTGCAGGTGGAGCCGCCCGAGCTGCCCGAGGACCTGCAGCACTGGGTGGCCTACAACGAGGCCAGCAGCCGGCTGCTCCGGGCCGAGAGCGGGCTCCAGGAAGACGTGGTCAAGGACCAGTGACCGGGCCTCGCCCCCCCGTCCCCGCCCGCCGACCACTACCCGCCCCCCGCCCCCCGCCTGCGGGCACACCGGGGCCTTGCCCTCCGCCCCTGCCCGCTGGCCACACCGAGACGCCCCCGCCCCCCGCCTGCGGGCACACTGCAGAGGGGCTGGCCGGCTCCGAGCTGAGGCACCCTGCGACCAGCCCACCCCTCACTCGCTCGGCCCTCCCCCACCCCACATTGAGCCCCGTGAGCCTCCGCTGAGCATGGCGCCCTGGCCTGTCTGTCCTCCGGGCGAGGGGTGAGTGGAGAGGGAGGCCCAGGGCCCTCGGCGTTGGGACTGGGGGGGAGGGGGGGTGCCAGGCCTCCGGAGCTCAGGGACCACCTGCAGCCGCGCTGGCACCGGTGGGGTAGGGGCTGCAGGTGAGGGTGGAGGCCCAGGCGGCGGAGGGCGTGGGGCTGCTGTGGGGGTGACGAGCTTCCTGTAGCTGGGGGTGCCCTCCGCACCCGCTCTCGCCTGTCTGCATTCCTCGGTCCCATCGGGCTGTGCTGTGGGGCCATGGGGGCCCGCCCTCTCCCTCTGAGCCGTCCCTGCCTTGCACCCTGTTCTGCTGTCCATCTCCCCTTCCTCCCCGGAGGGCTGCTCCCTGGGGGGCCGGGGCTGGGGCTGGGGGGCTTCTCAGTTTCACCCCAGTGGCCTGGCCTGCAGCTGCCCTCTGGGCTCCCCGACGGGGCCACACACACACACACACCCGCTCCAGCCTGATCCGGCAGCTGGAGAGAGGAGGAACTGGCCGAGGCCGGGACGCTCCCAGGCCCTCGGTGTGGCGCTGCCCGCTAGCCACGGCCGGCCGGGCAGACAGCCCAGAGCCGGCCTCGCTGCCCAGTCCGGAGGCCCCACCCCCTGGAGCCGCAGCACAGCCACCTCACGCCTCTGCCCACCGCGCCTTACGCCGCCGGGAACGCTGCGATGTTTGTTCTGTTCACGTTCTGTTCGGAGGAAGCCCGCGATTAAAGGGTCTTCGATGTTCGTGTCTGAGCAGGGTCCTCATTGGGAAGCCCCGAAGCTCGGGCACTCCCGGGTGTGTTCTGGGTGGGGGCATCCCGGCTGGCAGGGCAGGACGGCCCATCCCACAGCGTGGGGCCGAGGGCAGACAGGAGTCGCCCCAGCCCGGCCCCGCCCGTTTCAGGGCGCCCGCCCGGCCCAGGTGTCCGGCCTGGTCCCGGGGTCAATCCTGTGCCCTCAGGGCGCTCGCTCGCTCGGAGGCGGTGCCCACAGCCTGGGTCTGTGCCGGCTCCTCGACGGCCGGGGTGGGGAGGGTCTGCATCCCTGTCTGACCTGCCCGGGAGGGCCTGGCTCAGCCGGGACAGAGCGGGCGGCTGGAGAGCCAGGGGTGGGGCCTGGCCTGCACACAGGAGGGGCCTGGACTGGGGGTGGGGCTGGGGCAGTGGTGCCAGGGGACAGAGGAGAGGGTCAAACAGCCTGGCCTGGCGGCACCTGGGGCGGGAGGGCACACACACACATGCATGGGCTCCAGACACACGGGTAGCCTCTGGGGACATGCTCTGGGGGTTGGTGCTGGCCCAAGTCCAAGGTGAAGTGAAGGTCCCTCCGCACCGAGCCCGGCTTCCTCAGACACAGGAAGTGGGGCCTGGAGAAGGGCGTGTGGACGCGCGGGGGCTCCCCCATCCCTCAGCACACAGGGCCACAGGGGGACCACCTCACGGCTGGCCTGGCGCCCCCTCCACCCAGCTGTCCGGGGAGGCCCTGCCCGCTGCCGCCCCCCCCTGCACCTGGGGTCCTCCCGCCTGCAGCCGAGCCCCTGCTGGTCAGTGTGTCCCGCGGGGAGACAGCGGGAAGTGTGGTGTGGTGGGTGGGGGGGGTGCAGGCTTCAGGTGAGGCCCAGACCTGGCGGAGCCGCCCAGAAAGGAGACGGAGGCCTGGTGCAGGCGGCGAGCTTCTTCAGGGCATTTGGGCGGGGGGCAGGGAGGGGGCGCTAAAGGGGGAGGCTCAGGAGGGAGGCCAGCGTCAGGGCCAGGGCCAGGGCCGGGCCGCGGGGGGCAGGCGCCCCGTCCACGTTGCACAGGTCGGCGTTACAGCAGGACACCGGCCGCGTCAGGCCGATGCCGTCCACGTCCGAGGGCTGGCACCTGCTGGCGCAGGCCTTGGTCACCGTGGCGTCCCCCTCGAAGGGGTACACTGTGGGCGGGGCACGGCGTCAGGCTGGCTTGAGCCTCCGGCAGGACCCCACCCCTGCAGGCCGCCCCCCAACTCCCTCCCTCTGTGACCCGCCCCGCCCTCCCCCAGCACAGTGAGTGCCCACGGGGCCAGGCACACGGCCACCGCACGGGTCGTCCCGGAGGCCGCACTGGCCCCGGCGCTGCCCCCCCCCCCCCCCCGCACTGACCCAGCTCCCGGGAGTAGAGGGTGGTCTTGCACATGGTTTCGTTGGCCTTGCACGTGGCAATGGTGACGCAGCCGGACGCCTCCGTGGGCTTCTGGCAGCTGAAGCATCGCAGGGCCTCCGCTGGGCGGGACGGGCGCGTCAGCAGGCCCTGCCCTCCCAGGCCCGTCCGGGGACCGGCGGAGGGGGCGATGCCACCCAGGGCCCAGGTGCCCGCGTGGAAACGAAGTCCTGAGGCAGTGTGGGCTGGCCGGGGCTCCCGGGGTGGTGCCAGGCAGGGGCCCAGGCAGGTCCGGTGCACAGCCCAGGGGGGGGCCCGGCCACTCCTTTCCCTGCCCCCCTGCACCCACTGGGTGAGGCCACGGAGTCCCGCTGGCTAACCTGTTTCCCCCTCCTTACACGTGTGTGGTGGGAGGTGGATGGGAGTTACGGGCCGGGGCTCAGGCACGAGAGGGCACTGGGGTCTGAGGGTCTAGCCTGGCTGCAGCCACTGCTTCCCACTACACACACACACACACACACACACACACACACACACACCTGAGCCACGCCGTCTGGCTCGGACCCAGCTCCGCCTGAGGTGGGTGTAGGGCCCCGAGGAGCTGGGCTGTCCCCTCAGCTGCTTTCTCAGGTGCTCACCCCTCTGTCCACCCTCTGCTGCCCCAGACCTCCCTGGCCGGGCCTCAGGAAGGGCAGCTGCCTGGCGGGCACCCAGGGCCTCTGCCGGTGACCACAGCACCCTCACTGCACACCGTCCTCCCCCTCAGCCCCTCCGTGCTGCCCCACAGTCTTCGGCCCCCACCACTGGAGGACATAGAGGGATCCGGGAGAGAGGAGAGAGAGACAGATTTGCGCCTTCCGCACCCCCCTGGCGGGAATCAAACTGGCGACCGGCCAGCTGAGCCACTCGGGCCAGGCAGCCCCCCGCCCCCCGCACCCCAACACCATCCCGCTCTCACCAAGCCCGCCGCAGGAAGCCAGCAGCAGCGCCAGCAGCAGCGCCAGCAGCGCCCAACGCGTCCCCCGCATGGTGCTGTCTGCTGGGCCTCTGCGCGGCCCCGGCCTGCCGCGGGGATAGGGCCCGGCACAGCCCCGACCGGTCAGCCCGGCGGATTAGGGTGGGGAGCCGCCCGTGTGGGCCCGCCCTTCTCCCCTGGGCTCCAGGCCCCCGAGGGCCGCCTCCACCCCTTCCTCATTCCTCACCCCCCCCCCGTGATCCCCCCTGACCCCCCTTAGCGCCTGGGGTCCTTCTCCCTCCCCCACCCGGACCCCCTGTGCCCAGAACCCCCCCAGACTGCCGAGGAGAGCGCGGAGCGGGCTCCCCACTACTCCCACCCCATGGGGCGCCCCCACTTCAGCTCCAGGGCGGATCCTGGTCTGTGACTCTGGGCCTAACCCCCCGCCCCGTGCCAGGGCCCCCTCCCAGCTCCTCCGGGGTCACGGGGCGGGAGGCGGTTTGCAGTGACTGGGCGGGCTGCTGCCTGGGCAACTGGCCTCAGCGTGTGCAGCTCCGAGACAAAGATAATGCGCTCGGTCAACAGAGGTCCCGGCGGTGTGTGCGTGCAGGCGGGCGGCCACCTGGGGACACTCACCTTACACCCACCTGGGCCTCCATGGCTGCCCCGTGGGAGATGGTGGGAGTTACGGGCCGGGCTCAGGCACCAGAGGGCACTGGGGTCTGAGGGTCTAGCCTGGCTGCAGCCACTGCTTCCCACCACACACCTGCACACACACACACACAAACACCTGCACACTGACACACACACGTACACACACACACCTGCACACTGACACACACACGTACACACACACCTGCACACTGGCGCACACGTACACCTGCACACTGACACACACACGTACACACACACACCTGCACACCGACACACACACACACACAAACACCTGCACACTGACACACACACGTACACACACACACCTGCACACTGACACACACACGTACACACACACACCTGCACACTGGTCCACACACATGCACACCCCCCCGCCCCGGGTGCCTGCACCTCAGCGCTCTACCCCTCCATGCACCTGCCTGTGACCCTGTGACCCCACTTCACCCACAGATGCCAAGGCAACCTGGGGTGAGGTTGTCATCGCAGCCCTGGGGCTCTGGCAGGGGGTCAGGCCAGGGTCTTCCTGGGCTGTGCCCAGCCCCCTCGGGGTCCACTGCACCCCGCCAACTCCACACCTGCCCCTCTCCCGCCCACCACCGCGTGCCCGCCCCGGGGTGGAGTTCTCTGACCCGGGTCCCCACCGCAGCCCCGCTGCCCTGGCGGTCCCATGTCGTCCTCTGGGAGCGCCTGTGTCTCCTGGGCACCGCTCTGGGGCCAGCCGGGCCTGTGCCAGGAGGTGGGCCGAGCCTGGCAGCGGTGAAGGACGGTCTCCAGAGGGCTCGCCCGCACCCGGAGCGGCAGGGGCTGGTGCAGGCGCTGACGGATTGGCTCCCCCGCCGCACCCCTCCCTCCCTCCTCCTGGGGCAGCCCAGCCCCGGCCTCCCTGTCCTCAGCCCAGGGCTCCGCCTGCTTTCCTCCGAGCACACACGGCCCGGCACACACCCGCCCGGCACATACCTGGCCCCAGGCGGGCAGCACCCTCCTCCAGTTTCTGCCGAGCCCCTGGGAGGCCCGGCCGTCCTCCCTGCGAAGTCCAGCTCCTGCTCAGGGAGGAGGCCACCCACAGGGCCTGGGCTTGCCCAGTGGAGGCTGCCTGTGTGCCTCCTCAGTCCCCAGCCCAGGGTCAGGGTGACCAGGGTCAGGGTCAGTGTGACCAGGCTCAGGGCTCAGTGTGACCAGGGTCAGGGCTCAGAGTGACCAGGGTCAGGGTCAGTGTGTCCAGGCCCAGGGCTCAGAATGTGAGCAGGGTCAGAGTCAGTGTGACCAGGGTCAGTGTGACCAGGCTCAGGACTCAGTGTGACCAGGGTCAGGGCTCAGAGTGACCAGGCTCAGGGCTCAATGTGTCCAGGGTCAGGGTCAGTGTGACCAGGGTCAGGGCTCAGAGTGACCAGGGTCAGGGTCAGTGTGACCAGGCTCAGGGCTCAGTGTGACCAGGGTCAGGTCAGTGTGACCAGGGTCAGGGTCAGTGTGACCAGGGTCAGGGCTCAGAGTGACCAGGGTCAGGGTCAGTGTGGTCAGGGTCAGGGTCAGTGTGACCAGGGTCAGAGCTCAGAGTGACCAGGGTCAGGGTCAGTGTGGTCAGGGTCAGGGTCAGTGTGACCAGGGTCAGAGTCAGTGTGACCAGGCTCAGGGCTCAGTGTGACCAGGGTCAGGGTCAGAGTGACTAGGGTGGAGTTGCTCCCTCTGCCCGCATGGTCTCCTGTGGTGTCTGGGCTGCAGGTGGGAGGTGCCCGTAGGATAGGCCAGCGGGTTCCCCCAAGGCAGCTGCTGAACCCCTTTCTTCCGCTTCCTTCCGGAAGGACCCCAGCCTGGCTGTGTCCCAAGGACCAGCACCTCAGGGCGAGCAGCAGGAAGGGGATGCCATGAGCATCCTCTGGTCCTTGCACTTCCCGGGCGTGGCCTGGGGCTGCTTGCCCACAGGGCTTCTTACCCCCCACCCTCCCCACCTTCCGTTTCCAGGAGCGCAGGCACCAAAGGCCCTGTTCTTCCAGGGCACCATCGGGGCGGGGCCTACAGCTCCGCACCCCCTGCCGGCCTTCCAGCCCTCCCCTCGCCCCGCCCCTACCCCAGGCCCCGCTGCGGCAGGCTGCCCGGCTCAGGAGCAGAGAGGGCCCTGTCTCCCTCAGTGATGGGCAGAGCGCCCCCTCGGGGCGGAGTCAGGCCCACGGGACCCTGGGGGGGCGCTGGCGGGCCTTGGGGGTGAAGGAGGGACCGCAGCGGCCAGCCCGGAGGGACTGCGGACAGATGGGGACGGGAGTGTGATTCTGGGCCTCCGCTCCTCCAGGCAGCTCAGCCCCCTGCCCAGCCCCTGGGGTCCGAGCCCTCCCCCAGGCTGTGGGCCTGGGTTGCATGCACCCCTCCTGGGGGTCCCCTCCTAAGGCCCGCGCTCCGCCTGTCTCCGCGGCCTGAAAGCCAGCCGGGTGGCCCTCTGTTGGTTCATCCCCGGCTCTCAGGCCCAAAATAGCCTGGAGTCGGCGCTGACGGAGTCAGTGTGGCACCGCCAAATATAGCCGCCCCCCGCCCAAGCCCAGGCGGAGCGCAGGGGCAGCTTGGGCTGGCTGAGTGAGCAGGGACAGATCCCTCCAGCCTCAGGCAGACCCCACACACACACCCCCATGTCAGGGAGCTGGAGGCTGCCCTTGGGCGCTCTGCTGGAGCAGCAGGCCTGGTTGAAGGGTTTTATTGGCTTACAAGGGGGGCCCTGTCTCCTGGCCCACACCTGGGCCACTATTTGGCCAGTCCTCAGGCTCAGGGCTCAGAGTGACGGGGTCAGGGGTCAGAGCGGGCTTCCTGTCCGCAGGTGTGGTTCCCACAAGCCCCCCCAGTTACATCGGCGTGTGCAGACCTGTGCCAGGCGGTACATTCAGCGAGAGCAGCGTTAAGTAACCCCACCCCCCGACCCCCCAGACCTCGTCCCCATGGACATCAGGCTGACAGCCACCCTGGGCAGCTGGGGACTGAGGCCCTCCCCCAGGGCTGCCAGGAAGGTGGGGCGCCTGCACACCAGCGCCCCGAGGCCCCCATAAATAGCACAGCACGGCTGGGCACCCATCCTGGGACCGGACGGAGGGCTGAAGCCTCCGGAAGGCCAGGCCCACACCCGCCGTTGGACAAGGACAGCGTGGCCGAGGTGGGGAGAGGCCGAGGGGCTCAGGGCCGGGGCTCAGGCTGGAGGCCCAGGGCCCTCTGGCCGCCGGTCCTGGGCGTGGCTGGGGGTGCGGGGTGGCGAGTGCTCCGCCCGGGAGGGTCCACAGCGGAGGGCAGCAGGGGCTCAGAGCAGGCCCCAGAGGGTGGCCAGGAGCAGGGGGACGAGGGCGGGGCCCCCGGCAGAGGCCAGGCCGGCCCCGTTGCAGAGGTCATACTGGCAGCAGACCGTGGTGGAGGCGTGCTTGGAGTAGCCGTCGTACACGGTCTCGAAGCAGCTGGGCACGCAGGACTTGCTCACCTTCATCCTGGTGGGGGTGTAGTCTGCAGGGGCAGGAGGCGGGCTGGCCTGAGGGGCCGAGACCCCGGGCCCCCCACCCCCTCAGCCGGAGGCCCCCAGAAAGGACCGTGGGGCACCCCTCAGGCTCTCGGCACCCCGGAGCCGCCCCCTCGGTCCCAGGAGGCCGGGCCGGCGCCCTGACTCACAGGTGCGCGTGGTCATGCAGTAGGTGACCATGGATGGGCAGCGCATGGGGTTGAAGCAGTTCTCGCCGTTGTAGGCACACACGTGGCAGTCCAGGGCCCGGGCTGGGGGGTCACAGACAGGAGCCCTCCTCAGGCCCATCAGACCCCCAGCCCCACCGCCTCCCCGGGCCGAAGAGCAGAGCGAAGGAGAGATGTCAGCGGGGACCTGCCTCCCTCCCACTTCCAGCCCCCCCCCCCCAAGGGGATCCGGCCCTCCCCATCCTCCCTCCATCCTCCCTCCTCCCCCATCCTCACCCCGTCTTACCCACAGGCAGGCCCGCCAGGGCCACCAGGAACAGGGCGAGCAGGGGTGCCATGGCTGGGCCAGAGGGCAGAGCGGGCGTGGGAGTAGACAGTGGCTGGCCCTCGGTTCCACTCAGGCAGGACTGGGGGGCACAGCGGGCGCTGGACCGCCCGCCCTCTGGAGCTCCTGGCCCGCAGTCCTGCACAGAGGGGGCGAGGATGGGTGCTGGGCGGCTGCCAGCAGGACGAGGAGGTGCCAGCTCAGCTGGGTGTCAGACAGGCCTCCGGAGGGGGCGTCACCATCAGAGGAGCAGAAAGAGGAGGTGGGCCGGCGGGGAGGCAGAGGGGCCCCAAATGCCAGCCCCAACCCATACGCTCGCTACCCAGAGTGTTCACACAGGCGCCTCTGGGAGCTGGCCACCAGGAACAGGGCGAGCAGGGGTGCCATGGCTGGGCCAGAGGGCAGAGCGGGCGTGGGAGTAGACAGTGGCCGGCCCTCGGTTCCACTCAGGCAGGACTGTCCCCACCCAGGCCCGGGGCGCAGGGCGACTGGCCAGGGCTCCCTCCCCATTCTTGTTTGTTTCTGGGGTGCCCCTGCGTGTTCCCCAGTTCCTGACACTCTCCAGACCCAGGGGGGTCCCCTCTCCCAGGAAGACCCTCAGAGGCCACCCTGGCTCTCAGGCCTGAGCCCTGCGGCTGAGGGAAGCCTCTGGCCGGGCCGCCTTCCAGGACCTGGGCTGCGCCCCCTTCCTGGGCTGCGCCCCCTTCCTGGGCAGCGCCCCTTCTGGGCTGCCTGGGTGTGGGGTCAGGGGCTCCGGCGCCCCGGCAGACTCCCTCCCGGGACCAGCCACGGGCTCCGGCTGTTTGGGGCGTCACCTCGGATGCCGCAGCCCCCCCCCCCCCCCCCCCCCGCCAGTCCCGGAGACCAGGCCCCCGGAGTGCGGGGTGACCTCCGCCGTGACCTTCAGCACTCACCGCGCCGCTGCCTCGGGCCGGGCCGAGCACGTCCGTGCGTCCGTGCGTCCGTGCGCCCGGCTCCGCTCCGCGCCGCGGACCCGCGTGGGCTCCGCAGGCCCCGCCCCCGCCCGCTAACCCGCCCCGCCCCGTCCCCGCCCCCAGCGCCCCGAGACCGGACTCCCCGCCCGCCCCGCCCGGCTCCGGGCGCTCGGACCGGCCTGGCGTCAGGACGCTGCGGCGCCGGGACAGCCGCCGCCCCCACGCACCGGCCCGCAGGGCCACCCACCCGACCTGCCCGGCCCCCCTTCCTGCCGCAGGGGACGGGGGGCGCCGCTTCCGGAGGCCCCGACCCCTTCCTGCCGTGGGGGGACGGGGGGGGCGCCGCTCCCGGAGGCCCCGCCCCCTTCCTGCCGTGGGGGGACGGGGGGGGGCGCCGCTCCCGGAGGCCCCGCCCCCTTCCTGCCGTGGGGGGACGGGGGGGGCGCCGCTCCCGGAGGCCCCGCCCCCTCGGCCGCAGGGGGACGGGGGGGGGGGCGCCGCTCCCGGAGGCCCCGCCCCCTTTCCTGCCGCAGGGGGACGGGGACGCCGCTCCCGGAGGCCCCGCCCCCTTTCCTGCCGCAGGGGGACGGGGACGCCGCTCCCGGAGGCCCCGCCCCCGGCGCCCCCTCCGCCCAGTCGGCGCGGACCCCGCCCGCCGCCCGCTGTGGCCCAGCCCGCCCTGCGCCGCTCGGCCCGCACTAAAGACTGTTTTTGCTGTAACTTTACCAACATTCAGCTTCGGCTTATTTTAGGCAAAAATAAGGCTTTCAGGGTCCCAAAAGTTTCGTGTTTTTTTGTTTTGTTTTTTTTTAATGAGAAGAAAGGACAGGCCCGGCCGGGCGTGCAGCTGGTTAGCGCCGCCCCTCCCTCATGCCAAGGGGCGGGATGGAAGACCCACCGCTGAACAACTCCACGACCCCCCCAACAGCCATCCATGGCCCTGGCCCGTGTGGCCCAGTGGGTGGCGCTCATCCTGCGGGCTGGAAGGTCTGGGTTCGATTCCGGCCAAGGGCACGTGCCTGGGTTGCGGGCTTGATCCCCGCTGGGGGCGTGCAGGAGGCAGCCGATCGATGATTCTTATCTTTGATGTTTCTTTCTCTCCCTCTCCCTTCCTCTCTGAAATAAATTTAAAACATATATTTAAAAAAGTAAAAGCAACCGATGCTTTTTAAAAAAGGAAAGATAGCAGGAGTGACTGCACTCACATCAAGCAAAGTGGGTTTGAGAGAGGACAGAACCGGGGATGAGGGGGAGCTAAATTTACCTACTTTGGTTTTTCTGTGGGTTTGCCTCTTTCTTGTTGAAAGTATCACACACTTCCCCTCCTTCCCCCAGGAGCCCCCCAGCCCGCCCCCCGGCCCACCCCGGCCGCCGCATCTTTCCTGCTGGACCGGTGGTGGAGGGTCCTGGGACTGACCCGCGTGGGCGGGGTGAGCGCGCCCCCTGCTGGCGCCAGGCGGCATTTCGGTAAGGCTCCTTTTCCTCAGTTTCAGCCCCAGCACGACGGCCTAATAAGCTCCGACTGCGGGAACTAGAACAGAACGGGCAAGTCAGACCCAAAGGGCAGAATAAAGGAGACATAAGAGCTCAGACACCAGCAAAGTGAAGACAACAGAGCAGCCCGGCTGGTTTCTCAGCGGTTAGAGCATCAACTGTTCACCCGAGGGTCAAGGGCGGGCACCTGGGCTGCAGGCTGACCCCGGGCCCGAGTCCGGGCGCGTGCTGGGGGCAACCAATCTCTCTCAGGTGGATGGTATTCCCTCTCTCTCTCTCTCTCTCTCTCTCTCTCTCTCTCTCTCTCCTCCGTCCTCTTCCCTTTCCTCCCCCTCCTTCCATCCCTCACTCCTACTTTCTCTAAAAAGTAAATGAAAAAATTAGCCTTAGGTGAGAATTAACAACAACAACAACAACAAAAACCCAACTGACAAACAACAAAACACAGTAGAGAAGATCAACCAACCCAAAAGCTGATTCTCTGAGAACAGCGTGCGGTTTTTATTTTTTATTATAATTATATATTTTATTGATTTTTTTTTACAGAGAGGAAGGGAGAGGGATAGAGAGCTAGAAACATCGATGAGAGAGAGTCATCGATCAGCTGCCTCTTGCACAACCCCCACCGGGGATGTGCCCGCAACCAAGGTACATGCCCTTGCCCGGAATCGAACCTGGGACCTTTGAGTCCACAAAGGCCGACGCTCTATCCACTGAGCCAAACCGGTTTTGGCTTTATTTTTATTTTTTAATATATTTTATTGATTATTTTACAGAGAGGAAGGGAGAGGGATAGAGAGTTAGAAACATTGATCAGCTGCCTCCTGTATACCCCCTGCCGGGGATGTGCCTGCAACCAAGGTACATGCCCTTGACTGGAATCGAACCTGGGACCCCTGAGTCTGCTGGCCAACGCTCTATCCATTGAGCCAAACAGGTTTCGGCTATCCTTTCTTTAAAGTGCTTTGTAGACTCACTGGAATGTTCTTCGTGGGAAAATTTTAAAATACAATTTCAGCCCTAACTGGTTTGGCTCAGTGGATAGAGCGTCGGCCTGCAGACTGAAGGGTCCCGGGTTTGATTCCAGTCAAGGGCATGTACCTTGGTTGTGGGCACATCCCCAGTGGGAGTGTGCAGGAGGCAGCTGGTCGATGTTTCTCTCTCAGAACCCGGGCAGCAGCCCAGAACCCGGGCAGCGGGCCCCGAACCCGGGCCGTGGGGCTCAGACCAGGCCCTCAGAGGCTGTGCTCTTTCTTGGCACACAGCCCCCCACTCCGCCCTCTCTCTATCAGGGTCCCGGTGGCCGGTGGGGGTGCAGGGCTCCCCTGCAGGGACTGAGCCCAGGTAAGGGGACTGGCCGTGGCCCCCCCAGGCCGTCAGTGTCTGCACAGCCCCAGGCGCAGGGAGCCCGAGGGGCCCAGAACGGCCAGGGGGGTTGTGAGGGCCCCTCCTTCTGACCCCCTGCGGGAGGGCCTGCTCCCCGCCTGTGCTCTGCCCTCGCCCCGGCTCCCCTTCTCTCCGGGTCAGGGAGGTGCCTGGGGAGCCCCCCCCCATAAGGGGTGACATGGCATTCCAGCGCAGCCATGCTTGCCGGCCGTGGTCCTGCGTGGCCGGGCCTCCCCACCCCCAGGACGCAGACACAGACGGTTTCCAAGCGTTTATTCGATGGGTTTCAGTATAAAAGTCGAGGGGAGCCGAGCGGAGAGGACGGGAGTCGGGGGCGTGGGCGCTGGGAGCGGCGCTCACAGGCCGGGGCCCGCGGTGAGGGCCAGCAGGCCCAGCGCCAGCCCTAGGCCCAGCGCGGCGGCCAGCGGGCGGGGCGCGCCGTTGACGAGCCTCTCGTTGCACAGGTCGTGCTGGCAGCACTGGGTGGCGGCCGCGCCCCCGCTCCCCAGGCCGGGCTGCGTGTAGGTGGCCCGGCAGGAGTCTGCGCAGTCCTTCTCCACCAGGTTCCCCGCCAGGTGCTCCACTGCCAAGCGAGAGAGCGAGAGCGCGGGCTGGTCAGCGCCGCCTCCGAGCCCCACCCGCCCCACCCGCGCGCCCCGCGTGCGTCCACAGCACCGGCCTTCCCCGACGGCCCCCCCGGACAGTCCCCCCACCCCGGGACGGCCCTGCCCTGGAACAGGATGGCCCTCAACCCCGGGACGGCCCCCACCCTGGAACGGGACGGCCCCCCCACCCCGGGCACCGGCCCCCCCGGGTGCCCCCGCCCCGGGCACCGTACTCACCGTTGGTCATGGTCCGGCAGAAGCGGGCGCTGGCCGGGCAGTTCTGCGGCTTCTTACAGTTGGTGGAGCTGCTGCACACGTGGCAGCGCAGGGCCTGGGCTGGGGGCGGGAGAGGCAGGGTCTCAGCTGGGACAGGGAGACCCTTGGAAACCCTCAGCCCTGGGCTCCCCAAGGACAGGCCCCTCGGGACAGCACCATGTGCCCCCGTGCCTGAGGCCACCCTGGGGGGCCCCCAGGACCTGCAGGGCCAGTCCTGCACCGGCCTCAGAGGAGGGGGCCAGCCCTGTCTGCAGGGCGTGGGCCCTGGGGACCAGGTGGGGACTGTGAGCAGCGGCCAGTAGGGGGTGCACTGGAGGCCTGCTTCCCGGCCTCGTTCTTGGGGACTCCCTCCTCCGGGCTGTGCCAGGGCAGGTGCCCCCTCAGGTGAGCCTGGCGCGCCTGCGCTGCCTGCCTGGCCACGCGGGAGCTGGCTGTCCCGGGCCGGAAGGGCCGGAAGGGCCGGAGGGCGAGGCGTCTCCGTCCTGAGCCGTCTGGGACTCCCCGATTCCCTGATTGTCAGTCTGAGCGGGGAGACGGCTGGTTTTAACCCTGGGTCCGGCCCGGCCAGCCCGGCTCAGGGGTTGACCCAGGAACCAGGAGGCCACAGTTCGGTCCCGGTCCTGTGTCCGGGTGGGGACTCCATCCCCACTGGGGGGCATGCAGGAGGCAGCCTATCCATGATTCTCTCTCATCACTGATGTTTCTATCTCTCTCCCGCTCCCTCCCTCTCTGAAATCGATAAAAATATTTTAAACATTAATAACAAATAAATTCTGAGTCCAGCACCCCCACAATCTCAGGATCCTCTGAGCCTCAGGGTCCGTAACTCCACGCTCTGGCCCCAGCCCCGCCTGGGGCGCCCTCTCAGCCTGGGCCCCCGCCCGCACCGCCCCCCGCCCGCCTGAACCCGGGCCCCCACCTGGGCCCAGGGCCGCGGCCAGGACGACGAGGAGCAGCAGGGCTGTCTTCATGGCGGTGCGTGGGGAGCGCTGGGGCCTCCCCTCCGGAGGCCTTATAGCCCTGACGGAGCTGTGGGCGGGGCAGGTGGGCAGCCGGCCAGGCCGTGCCTCCAGCGGGACTTCCTGCCCGCCCATCTGTGCCGCCTCGCTGCCCTCAGGGCCCTGTCCCACCCTCAGGGTCTCGGACGGGGTCAGCACCGGCGCCGTGCGGTGCCCAGAGCTGTGCCATGGCCCTGCCTCTCGGGGTCTGGGCTCGGGGCCACTGGGCAGTGCAGGCAGAGCCTGGGAAGGACCCCGGGGAAGCTGGTGTCCAGCTGAGGTGGCAGGCGGGTGGGGGCAGGCGGGGTGGGCATTGGGGGCGTGGCTGTGGGATGTGCCGCAGAGGGGCCTGGCCGGGTGACTAGGGCCTCTGTGCCAGGCAGTCCTGCGGGGGGGGGGGGGAGTGCGTGGGCCCTGTGGATGGTGACGGGGGCAGGCCCAGGCAGCTAAGCCCCGGGTTTGCCCCAACGCAGCCCATCACCCAATGGGCACACCAGCAGAGGGGGAGGGGGGAACCGAGGCTCCTGGGAGCCCCCTGGGTGCAGGCTGCTCAGAGCTGGGCTCAGACCCCCGTCCTTCCGCCCGCCCTGCGTGCCAGCCACTGTGCCACGCGGGTGGAGTCAGGGCCCCATCCTGGGTGGGCTGCCCAAGGGGCAGGCGGGGCGGAGCTGCCTCCTGACTGGGGAGCAGAGGGGTGCGGCAGGAGCCCCCGGCCCGGGTCAGCCTCCGGCCCCGTGGGGAGGCTGCGGGGCTGCCGGGCCTGGCTCCCAGGGGCTTGATCAGGGCAGCGGGGATCTCGCTGGACAAGGCTGGTCCTGTGGGGCCCCCTGTCCTCATCCAGAGTTCGGAGGCCCCCGGCACTCCTCCGGGAGCATGCCCGGGCCTGGGAAGCAGGGCACAGGGCTCGGTGACGGGGTGCTGACTGGCCGGGTGGGGGATGCAGGTGGGAGGAGGGGTGACTCACTGGGGCCATGGGGCAGGGAAGCTGCTGGAATAACTGGTTGGGGACCTGGCGGAACCCCAGGGTCCAGGACATCGGGCGGAACGAGGTCCGGGCATGAGGCACCAGAGCAGAGGCGGCTCAGGCTCCGGGAAAGAGCCTTTGTCCCCGACAGCTGCCCATGGGCCCGGTGCCCGTCCGGGCCTTCGCCACAGCCGGGCACCAACAGCCCAGACACCGCTGACGGTGGCAGGAGCTCGCAGACGCCGGGAGTCACAGACGCTGCAGTCAGGGAGGGCTTCCTGCAGGCGGTGACCTGGCTCTGCCGTCGGAGGCAGGAGGTGGGGGCAGAGGAGCTGCCATGACCCCTCACACTGGCCCCATTACCGGTCAGGGACGAGGACCAGAGAGGGCCCTGCTGGCGCCAGGTCCCCAGGATGAGGCAGAATCAGGCACGTTTCCCCCCAACCCCCCCGCCCGCCCGCCAAAGAAAGTCACCGCTTTCCAGAACCCGCGCCCTCTCACCCAGCCCTGGAGGCAACCCTGTTCCCGGGCCAGGCGGTGCCCGCAGAACACTGGCATCCTGCAGAGGACGCACAGGCCCGGGCGGCTCCCCCTCCTGCCCCCCACCTTCTCCGCAGGCCACGCTGTGAGTCAGGCCCCGTCTCCCGGGCCCTGCTCCTGGATGCACGCGAGGCCGCCTGGCCCAGGCAGCCGCCAGGAGTGGGGGCGGGCCAGCCCTTCTCCTGCCAGAGGCACCTTTGCACGGGGCTTCGGGCCTGCAGGGCCCGTCCTCGTTCTCCCTGGGACCTTGGCCCCTGTCCAGAGCCAGCCTTCGACGCTAGGCTGCTGGTGTCCTGGGGCTGGGACTCGGGCCGCCCTGCCACACGGAAGCGGCACACAGCCCTTCCCTGCCCCGGGGCGCAGCCCGTTCCCTGGTCACAGGCAGCCCTTCCCTTTCTCAGGCACGGCCCATCCCTGGGAAAACCCGGTTCCAAAGCTGAGACACAAACCAGTTCTCAGGAGAGGCAGGCGGCCCTCTGGGAAGAGCCCCACAGGGTCCCTGCCAGGCCAGCCCCCCGGGGTCCCTGCTCTGAGACAATCCACCCACCCATCCATCCATTCATCCATCCACCCACCCATCCACCCACCCACCCATCTATCCATGCACCCATCCATCCATCTATCCATCCACCCATTCACCCATCCATCCACCCATCCACCCATCCATCCATCCACCCACCCATCCACCCACCCACCCATCTATCCATGCACCCATCCATCCATCTATCCATCCACCCATTCACCCATCCATCCACCCATCCACCCATCCATCCATCTATCCATCCACCCACCCATCCATCCACCCACCCACCCACCCACCCATCCATCCATCTATCCATCCATCCACCCATCCATCCATCCATCCACCCATTCACCCATCCATCCACCCATCCACCCATCCATCCATCTATCCATCCATCCATCCACCCACCCATCCATCCACCCACCCATCCACCCACCCACCCATCTATCCATGCACCCATCCATCCATCTATCCATCCACCCATTCACCCATCCATCCACCCATCCACCCATCCATCCATCCACCCACCCATCCACCCACCCACCCATCCATCTATCCATGCACCCATCCATCCATCTATCCATCCACCCATTCACCCATCCATCCACCCATCCACCCATCCATCCATCTATCCATCCACCCACCCATCCATCCACCCACCCACCCACCCACCCACCCATCCATCCATCTATCCATCCATCCACCCATCCATCCATCCATCCACCCATTCACCCATCCATCCACCCATCCACCCATCCATCCATCTATCCATCCATCCATCCACCCACCCATCCATCCACCCACCCACCCACCCATCCATCCATCTATCCATCCATCCATCCATCTATTCATCTATCCACCCACCCATCCACCCACCCACTCATCCATCCATCCATCCATCCATCCATCCATCCATCTATTCATCCATCCACTAGCCATTCATCCATCCACCATCCACCCATCCATCATCCATCCATCCACCCATCCACCCATCCATCCACCCATCCATCCATCCACCCATTCATTCATCCATCCATTTATACTCCCATCTGCCCACTCTTCCACCCACCCATCCATCCACCCATCCATCCATCCATCCACCCATTTACCCATCCATCCACCCATCCACCCATCCATCCATCTGTCCATCCATCCACCCATCTACCCATCCATCCACCCATCCACCCATTCATCTATCTATCCATCCATCCATCCATCCATCCATATACCCACCCACTCATCCACCCACCCATCCATCTATCCATCCATTATCCACCCATCCACCCATCGGTCTGTCCAGTCATCCACCTGCCCACCTCCTCATCCACTCACACTCGTCGGACCCTCCAGGAGTTGGCTACGATGGTGCTTCTGCCTTCTCCCCCCTCTCCCCTTTCTTACTGACGTGCCTGCCCCAGGGAGAGAGCCCAGTGACTCTGAGAACCATGGAGTGAGCCCGGCAGGACTCGGAGAGCCTGCGGGCCACAGGGTGGTGGGCGGCTCCGGACTGGCCACCCCGATGGGCAGAGCTGCGCCTCTCGCTGAAGGTGATATGATGAAGGGGGGCCCCAGAGGACACCCCTGACCCCAGCCCCTGACCCCAGCCCTCTCCAGGGAAATAAGTGTTGTCCTAGATGTGTGCTCTGCCATCTGCCCGTCCGTCCACCCAGGCCCTGGCACCAGAGCCTCTTGCACTGAGTGTCAGGCCCTCTCTGAGGCAAGCAGCCCCCCTCACCTGGTCTCCCGTCCCTAGGGAACGGAAGTGCCCCTCCCGCTGGGCGTCATCACTCTTGTTCTTAAATATTTAATATCACTCTTGTTTGTGCTGACTTCAGAGAGGCAGGGAGAGGGAGCGAGAAACATCGGTGATGAGGGTCACGGGTCGGCTGCCTCCTGCACGCCCCACACGGGGTCGAGCCCACCGCCTGGGCCTGGTTAGGAATAGAGCTGTGACCGCCCGGTTCCTAGGTCGGTGCTCACCCACTGCGCCCGCCCACACACTCCCAGACAACCGGGCATGTTAACAGGATGTTTAGCAGCAGCTGGCGAAGTTCCGGGCTGGGATGCTGTCTTCCCAGCACGTGAGCCCGGACCTCGGACCCCACTTCCCCCACCCCCGCCTGCACGCCCAGGCTCGGAGGGGCCGGGCTGTCTCCGCTCCCGCTGCCGATGCCCAGCCGAGGGCCGGACGAGGCCGCGCCCTGAGCCCAGGCGGCCGCTCTCTGCTCTGGCACCTGGTCCTGGTCCAGGGGTGGTGTTTGTGCAGCTGCTCCGGGCGTGGGACAGGCCCCGGGGAGGAGGTGGGTCCCGCTGGGACTCCTCACCACAGCCTGGAGCTTAGAGGCGGGCGTGTCACCAGCCTGGGAAAGTTCGGAGCGGCCGGCCGGGCGGAGACGGCACCTGCAGAGGAGGTGCCCGGACAGAAGGGCGCCCCCACAGCCGGCCAGGTCACCCCCAGGCCCACGCAGGCTGCTGCTCAGCCCGCACTCTGGCCCTGAGGAACGCGTCCCAGCCTGACACGTGTGGCCCGCGCCACCCGAGACTCCCTTCCCAGCAGCCAGTGGGGCCGGGAGGGGGGGGGCGCTTTGGGGCAAAGGCAGTTCCTGCCCTGCTGCCTGGTGTACCCGCTGCCCCTCAGGGCCCCCGTGCTGGGCTCTCCTGGCAGCCCCCCAGCCCCGCCGACCTCCGGGCCCTCACACCCGCTGCCCGGCCGTCTTCCCGGGCCCATGGCGGCCACCACCTCCGTGGCCGGCGGGGGCCCCTTCTCGGTCGGTTTGCCTCTGTGGCCCCGTCTGTCCTGTCACTGTGGGTCCCAGTGCCTGTGGGACCCTGGCAGGCAGGGCGCCCGAGTGCTGATGTGACGGCCGTGGACAGCGGGGGGCACAGCTCCGTGCCTCCGCTGCCCCGTGTGTGGGGGGGGACCACCATCGTCATGGAAACCGTCTC